AAGTAGGCCAACCGACGTTTATATAAAAAATTACATGCGAATGGAGGGAGGAAAAAAATGGCGGCTCAATTTGAAAAACCCACTCATATTTTTATGATTTCACTTATTTGCACCGTAGAAAATATCACGGAGATAATCGTATTCGTAACTTTTTCCCTCGCATTTCAGAATCGATTGATCAGCTGCGTGCCAATCTTCCTCTCTGAATCCCTTATTCAACCCCTGGTGTGTGGCCCTGTGGCGCCGAAAACCTGGCCTTCATTGCATCCGGCCAATCCCTCCGCCAATTTCGAGACTCAGTTAACTCCGGCGAAGTCGCCCGACCCTGTCAAGGTTGGATCGTCTGAGTTTGAATCAGACACACACGTTCTCTCGCCTGTGGCAACATCACAGTCTCAGATTGGTGTCTGTTTCCAAGTTCCGCCAAAACACCGTGTTTTCATCAGTCTCTCCAAGCTGAGCCAACGTCTGTCTGAGGTGACGGCACTTTCTCCCTCCAGGACTTCCAGCCCTGCCTTTCCCATGCTGCAGTACCTAGGCTCCTATGTCTGTGAACTGCACAAATTCCTGGCAGAAAACCCCCTTCTTCTCGGCAGTTTCATGGTAGTTAAGTTGACACAACCGCCTAGCCCGGAGGAAGTTGCGCCCTGTGCAATTGATCTGCAGCAACTCCAAGCCCTGAACACCCGGCTGGTTTCAGTATTTTGTGCGGCAGCCAACCATGTCGGCGACGGGCTTCCCCGACGACTTCAGCTGCCAGACTTTCTCGAATGGGGACGTCAGTTTGATGCGGATCTGGGCGCTTTCCTGCGAGACACGTGTGAACAGGTGCGGGAACATGTAGAGGTCTTGGAGGATGCTGTAAGTGCTTACAGAATATCGCCGGGACTGGCGGCGTTCTGTGGTGTTGAGGAGACCTCCTCGCCCTCGCTGACCGACAGTCATCATCATAAACTGCCTCAAAGCCAGTCATCCGCTTCTTCTACACCCTCCCTATCTGGCACTCTGGAAACTGGGGTTTCAGAAATTGAAAATTTCACATGAAATTATGCATACATATATGTATATATGTATGCAATGCTGGACTCCTTTGAACCCATATCTTTACTGCTCTCAATTGGCTTGTAAATGCACAATGTGTATTTTACCCCGCCCGTAGGATCAGTAAGCGCCAGCCCTTAATGAGTGAAGAACACACTTTCTTCTGGCAGCAGAACCCAACACAAAGCAACGCCTCCCACTGCCAGTGTCCAATTCTGTCAACAAACTGTTTTACTTGTGTGTGTGTGTGTGTTTGTGTGTATTTGGAAGAGTATCGATGTCCACGGGGACACCGTCATCTGCTTATTGAGATACCAGTTCCGTGGCCCCCCCTTATTTATTGACGCCTTTTCCTCGCCACGACGTGCCGATTTGGCCATTATGTTAACGCCACCACAATCACAACTAGCCGTGGCGACGCTACAGGTACTAAACCTTCTTAGTGTAAAGCCTGCAACATGACAATCATCCACCCACTTTACATGCATGTATCTTTGCAAAAGAAGCCTTAACTGTTCATAGCATGCACAAGTAAGCACTGAGTATCAAGAAGAAGAAGAAGAATAAGCAGCCTTTACCGACGGACCATTTGCAACCGTGGTCACAATCCTCATCCTCCAATGAGGTTCCCTTTGTATGCGTTTGTTTGTGTTTGATCCCACCCACCTTTCGGCCTCTGTC